CTTCTGAAGGAATTCCTGTAGAGATTGACGCAGACATTCTCAAGTGCTTTAATGTTGTCGCTGTGAATCAGTGCTCCAACACTGTAGTCTGTTGCGAGGAGCAGAAAGCCGGGATCTTTGTTGGGTGTTTCGCTATATAGGCAAAAGCGGCACAAAAGCATAAAATGAATTTCTTTAAATAAATAAAGCTGTTCAGGCAGAAAAAACACGATTAAATACCCCCGCCGCCGCCGCCGCCGCCGCCGACCCCCCCGCCACCGCCCCCACAACCACCGCCTCCACCACCTCCTCCTCCGCCACACCCACCACCTCCTCCTCCGCCACACCCACCACCACCGCCTCCGCCACCTCCTCCACAACCTCCTCCTCCCCCTCCGCCACCTCCTCCACAACCTCCTCCTCCCCCTCCGCCACCTCCTGCTCCACCACATCCCCCACCTCCGCTGATGCCACACCCGCCTCCGCCACCACCACCTCCACCACCTCCGTCATACCAGCACTGGCCATCACCGCAAAAACAATCATCACCGCCACCGTCCCCGTCCTCTCCGCCTCCGCCTCCGTCCTTGCGGCGATCAACTGTCACAGCACCTGGTCAAGCAGCAATGTTCTTAGAATTTGCGTGCAAAGAAACTTGTTTCTCACCCCAATGATCTTCTTCTTCTTCTGAGACGATCACTCGTTTACTCGTCTTCGTCCACGAAGGAATGGCTTTGCCGAGCATATCCGACACGGACATGCTTATGGTTGCCGATAAAAGAAGCACAAGCAGCACATCCTCATTGCGATCAATCTGAGACAAATCAAATCACAAAACTGGAAGTAAGTTTCGATTAAAGTCTACCTGCATGCCACCAGATCGCCAGTTGAAAAGAGCTGTCGCCTTGCCTTGAGGAGCGTCTCTTGTGAATCTTACCATTGTCACAAACCACGCTTCCTGTCGCTCGGATGCACCAGGAACAGCAAATTCCAGGTGACGCCCCGAGAAGAGCATGATCTACAATCAAGTTTTCCAGAGAATCAGCCACTATATCAGAGAATCTGTACCACTATATATGCAGACTAACTCACCGGACAGTCGTGGGATTTCATTTCAACGCGGAGCTGTGGTTTCATGTTCCAGTGCTCATCCTTGACATCTCTGTTAACAGTTAAAGTAGCCTTCCCGTTCATTAGAGACCATCTCCTAGACACTGAAGATGGTTTCTCTAGTTGCCACGCAGATCCTAGAATTTCACCTGAGAAAACAAAGCAACACTATAAATCTTTTGCAAAACATGTCCAGAAGATGCTCATACCATTTACGGAGCCAGTGTTGTAAGAACCGTCGTATGTCCACCCTCCTTTGTGAACATGGATAACTTTATCGGTGTCGAGAATGCTCCTTAGCAAAAGCCCCCCACCCTTGTATCTAAAGCAAAAGTTGCCACATTAGTTCTAGAAAAAAGTGGCTCAATTTGCAACCTGCAACGGACGACGAAGGATTCGTTTCTGGTGTGGTCGAAAACATTCCTTGTTATCCACATGCCTTCTCTGTGACTGTGGAGGCTGTGAGTGGCACAGTCGTCTCCCGTGTCTCTCACTCTCACGCTTCTGAAGAGATAAGGCGCAGTGACTGGAGGAGTAACGGAGATGTAAACCAGCACCGACACTTCTCGGTCCTTCTTTGTCTCCAGCAATGGAAACCAGCCGCTGAGTGATTGCGTTTCCGAGCGGATGACAGTTTTCCATGGAATCAGGAGCAGGCCCACGGTTCTGGATATCAAAAAGCGCTTCTGTCGAACTGCGAGCACCAGCCCTTCGGTGGAGAGTTCAGCTGTTATGGTTGAGACTACGCTCCGATGAGAGGAAGCCTTCCCTCGTTGGCTCTCGAGATTCAGATACTTTTGATGGTTTAACGAGCTTATCACGTAGTAGATGGTCCTATCGTCTGGCAAACCTCTGGTACCTCTTACGGAGAGATGAACCTGCATAAATCGAATCGAATCGGATCAGACGAGATTGACAAATCTGCGAACTCCAATACCTGAATGGTCTTTCGCTCAGCCAAGTCATAATCGTTTTTACTAGCGAGCCTGGCGAGTTTGGCTGGATCATAAGCAGGTGTTTTGGGAACGGATGCTGGTGGCTCCCCTCTATACATGCACCCTGCTTTCTCGTATGGAAGGCCATACGTGTCTTCCCACATAGATCGAGTCTTTGTGAATCCATTGTCCAGTTTTCCTCCGGAATCTCGGTTGCTATCTGTGTCGTCATGCTCGAAGATCCTTCCCAGTACCTGTGTGAGATCGTTGTGGTAGCTCACAGGGTGAAGCTGATGTGTATGCCATATTAAATCGATGTCGTAAGTGGGAACGAAAAATGTTGATGTGCCAGACGTGCGTACGAGATGGAGAAACGCCTTGTAACGTGCAACAGCAACTACCAAGAAGCTCTCGTCCAGGTAATGCGGCTCAGAAACCTGCGTACTCAAAGTTAATTTGCTTCCAAGGAAAGATCATCACTTGCCTGATAGTAGAAACTTTTCTGCCTGAGAGCTGCTTCTGCCAAGTCATAAAAGATATTGGTTGGTCTTTCGGTATATCGCGTAAATGTCAAGAGTGTATGGTTCGTCTGGAAAATTCGAAGCCCATGTACTGGCGCTTTGTTGGAGATCATTTCTGTGCCTCGCCAAAGAAGGTCCCTCCACAATTTTACCGAACAATCTCTTACAGTCGTCAGCATATTGAACCTAGTCAGACACGTAACTTTAGTAGATTGAAGTGGACAGATAATGAATAGCCACACTCACAGGATTCAAGCGATGGCAATGCCATATCCAGCCGCAGTCGAGTGGCGGGACAAAAGTCCCAGAAGAATTTGCTAACAGCGGGAGGCAGCAGTACTGGTACCTAGAATCCAAGAAGAAATCAGCAAACTAGATCGAACAAGTAAATATCTCACCTCTCAATTGCCCTTTCCAGAACAGGCCTCTCAAACAGCTTGAAATTGGCATGTACCAGCGAAAGGAACTCCAACTGTGATTTTGCAGCCGCTACCACATCCAGAGAGAGCGCGATTTCTTGAGCCTTGCGCCATTCATTCACTTGATTCACGGAATGCGAAGCCATTGTTGTAGTCTGTGAGTCGAGCACATTGCTTGGTCTGCTTAAATAAGCGGGAAGAAGCTGCCTGCTTTGACTCTTTCAAGGATGCGTAGAGAGTTCGGAAATTCGATGTGTCTTAGAGCTTTTGGACGTTCAGGCTGGTTTATGGCGACCGCCAATGATCTCGCAATCCACGCGGGGCTCGTAGAGAGTTTCAAGATCAGCGTGTATCATTGACTGGCGTGGCAGGATCGTCGAACTTGCTTTTGTCGTCAAGTCGTCTTTACCAAGACTTTTTTTGTTACTGAAACAAAACATAAAAAAAAAAAAAAATTCAGCACGAGAAGTTTCGACTGTACTTTCAAGGGAAATCCACGTCCTTTTGGGCCAAGAGAAGCTCAAAACGAGGAACGAGAAGTACTCTTCCATGTCCTTTAACACTCGCTACTTCGTGCCGGGGTTGAAAAAAAAAACGGCACAAAATTAGAGAGACTGTCCTCAGCGAAGATCTTTCCTTACCATGGAGGATGGATGGATACAACACATCCGACCTGTACATCGGGAGGAAGGCTGTCGAAAATAGCGGTGACAGCTTCAAAGGTCTCCAAAACCTCGCACTTTGTGGATGTGAGATGTGCCTCAGGCGACGATTTCTCGAGCACTCGTAAAGTGAGAGAACCATCTAAAGCAAGGAACCGTGATCATGTCGAAGAGAACAAAACAGGGAAAGGCATACCAGCTGGTTTCATGTCTGAGCTCAAGTGATTGTGGCGCCCTCCCAGTTGTGCCAAGAGCGCTTCAAACCTTTACGAATCAAAGAAACGTCAGATGTGAAGGACGGCATGGAAGAGCCACTGACTTAAACTTTGACGAGGTTTCTGCCGGAAGACCACCGCCGTCGCTGCTAAACTCTTGAAGCTCTTGCACAGAAAGCTTGGTCAAGGATGCATCCTAGAAAAACAATCAATGAGAGGAGAAGAAAGAGAAGGGCCAGGCTATGTCTCGTTACCTCGGACGTGGTATCACTATCGATCGGATCAAGGCTAGAATCCACCCTGCAAGAGAATGATCGCTAGAAATGAAGAATAGAATCACTGGAAATGCAGCTACCTCGTGCCTGCCTTGCGCCCAACATCGCCGTCGTCGTCGGCGTCTGAGATTCCATCCTCCAGCTCCAGTGGCCGTCGCGGGCGCTTCATGCCCCCTAGGGTTTGAACGAGAATATGGCGTGGCTGCTGACATATCATATCATGTTTAAGTTCTATTCGAAATGAATATGAACCGTTGGATGAATTCTAGAACATGTTCAGGTACACAGAAAGCATGAGCTCGTAGATGAGATGACACAGTTTGCGATCTTTCTGTTGCTTGTACTGGAAGATATCCTGGTTCACAGGCAGTGGTGAACGAACGTACTCATCAAAAAACATTCCTCGCTTTTTGTCCAGGAACTAACTAAAAAACTTCCACCTTGGAGAAGGGAGCACTGGCGCTGGCTAGGTGTACGGGGCTCTGCTACTGGAGGAGCTCCCACACATCTGCCAGAATAAAAGAGCTGAATGGCTTCCTCACAAAATTTTCTTCAAGAAATTGGTAGCCTTAAAGGTACTTTAATATGCTTTTTTTTAAAGTTAACTTTAAAAGAAGATCGATTTTTCCTTGGTTTGAATGGATGTCAGGACAATCTTGGTGACCACAACCATGGTAGACCAAAAGCCATTTGACCTACATTCCCAGGAAGGGAGATGAAGTGATTGTAATGGTTAAATATGTATGAACATTCCCCAATGTCCCATAGGGATTGTTAGTGTTGTCATAGAGAAACTAATCTAATGATGCATACCTATTGCAGCCAAACACAACAAAAACATCAAGAGTGCAAACACCACTGCCCTCAACCTCCAGCCAAAGCTGACCATATGTAGGGCATGTACTAGCCTTGGGGATATCCTTGCTGTGATGCTTTATTTCTTGATCATGGAATTCTTGTATAAATTCCTCCCTCCAAAATCTATCTCTCCTTATGAGAAATCGTTAATCCCTGTTGAAGCATAGTCACTACTGTGACTTGTGAAAGCAAGGAGTATATAAGTATTGTATCCCTATACATGTGTGTGTCTGCTGTATATTCTGTCCCAACATGGTCTTAGAGGATTAAGGGCAATTTGTAAGTGATGGGAAAGTCTAGTGGATTTGAGGGATTTTTGTCTTTGAGAGGAAGCTGAAAAAGAAGAAGGTTCTTGGGTTACTCACTAGAAAGGAGCAGCCACCATCAAGGCTGAATGAAATAGAGCTTGGGAAGTTGTCCCTAGAGCAATGAAAGAAATACAAAAAGTGTGTAGAGGATTTCAAGGATGTTGACAACACCACAAGATAATTTTGATCAAATAAGGTGAAAAATGCCACTGCTTCAACTAAGGCATGACAAGCACTTTATCAAAGTTTATTGTCAACACTCATGGGCATTGGAGATGAACATGTTTTGACAAGTTAATAGGGAGCAATGGAGAAAGCTTCAAAGTACATTAAAAAGATGACCACTTGGCACTTTTCATTCTAGGATTGAATGAGAAATACCAAGAGTGGAGCTTCAAGAAGGAAGACAATGTCTAGGACTAAATCAAGTGATTGCAAACATCCACCACTAATTGTTATGTCAAAATCAATTGACTCATAGCATCATGGTTTGAGTAGGCTAAATTGCCAAGTCATCCTAGACATATTCAAGCATCATCAGTCTTTGGAGGAATGGCCATATAACCAATAGGCTTACTAGACTATACAAATTTATATATCTATATAAACTTTCAATTTAGCGAATGTAACACATGTTTAATCCCATTACAGATAGCCAAGGGTATCCATGACATACTAGTTTGTTATGTTAATGTTGAAAAGGGAGCCTTTCAACAGTGGGAAAAACACTCTATCATACTCTAAAATCCAACTAAAAAATATCTCTTTGTGAACTCTCTACCCTAAAAAATGGGGAATATACCTCTGTGCCCCCTAGAATATTGAATATTTTAGAGAATCTTGCTCAACTCTAACCATCTAAAGAATGCATTAACTCTGTTGCACGCGAGAACACAAGGCCTAAGTATTGGTGTAGACTCCACTATGATGTCCTATGTTGACAATTGTTCTGAGGAAAAAAGACTAAAGAAAAACGAAGAAAAGAGAAGATGAAGAAAAAAGAAAGTGTAGAGTTCTGAAGTTGAAAGGAAACCATATGGGAGAAGTTGACAAAAGAACTAGATACTAAAACAAAAAGAGAAAAAATGGAGAAAAAACAAGTGAAAATAAGAGAAAACCTCTAAAAAAACCTTAAACCTCTAAAAAAAATAGCATGGAAGAACAGAGTCATCAAGGATGCATCCTAGAAAAATACTTTATTACCTCGCACTCGATTTTATTACGGTTTAGGGTTTATTGGCGATCACTACAATTCATGGTCGATGAAGTGAGTGACAAGCGTGGCCACTATACTGTTGTTTGTACCAACATTCTCCTACTCAACTATAAGCACGGGAGCCATAGATCTTGGGATGTTGGCTAGGTTTTTAGCCTTCCAAACATTATTCTTTCATTGTACTTATGTTTTCGAAACAAGAGAAAGTATATATCAACAAAGAAGGTCTGGATTTCAAGTCATGAGACAGTAAGTTTATCCCAGCCAAAAACTTCTGGATAGTGGTTGCCTACATACATCCGATGAACTCAAGTTGGTAGGTTCATGAGAACCCCTTCCCAAAGGAATCCTAATGGAAATGAGAATGGCATAACTTATGCAATTGGAGTGTGGTGACCCAAATAATGATGGAGGTGTGGAAGCAATTGCCCATTTTTCAATTAGCTTAAGCGGAGAAAGATAAGGTGTGTTATATGTAGTATCAAAGCAAATGGCATGGATTCAATTCCCATTGATTAGTGGCTATTTACATTGATTAATGGCTACTTAAAAGTATAATATACCTTTATGCAAGGTATTTCTACCCGAAATCATATGTATTGAGCATCCATGCGTACGTCTTTTCTATTATGTGAAGTATCTATGGACGAAGGTATCCACTGTGTGCCGAAATCATATGTATTGAGCATCCATGCGTACATCTTTCCTCTTGTGTGAAGTATCCACAGACGAAGGTATCCACCATGTGACTACCACATACAGGTGTTGCCTCACATGGAATAACTTGTCTACACAATGGAAAGATTGGTCGATTGGATTGAATTGGAGGTGCTGGTTCCCCTTGGCTCAATAGGGGTTGTTAGTTAATAGTTACTAAAATACCTAATTGGTAGATTTAGTGTGGAAATGGAGGTGCTAGCTCAATAGAGGTTGTTAGTCAATAGTTACCCTTTTGTATGAAGTATTCACGGATGAAGGTATCCACCGTGGGACTATAATACATGTGACTACCATATATAAGTGTTACCTCACATGGAATAACTTGTCTACACAATTGAAAGATTGGTAAATTGGATTGGATTGGAGGTGCTAGTTCCCCTTGGCTCAATAAGGGTTGTTAGTCAATAATTACCAAAATACCGGATTAGTAGATTTAGTGTAAAAATAGAGGTGTTACCTCAGCAAAGGTTGTTAGTCAATAGTTACCCATATGGAATAACTTATCTATATAATGGAAGGATTGGTACATTGGATTGAATTAAAAGTGTTGGTTCCCCTTGGCTCAATAGGGGTTGTTAATCAATAGTTACCAAGATACTAAATTAGTAAATTTAGTGTGAAAATAGAGGTGCTAGTTCCCTTTAGCTCAATAGAGGTTGTTAATCAATAATTACCAAGATACCAAAGAACCACAAAGGCCTTTGGATGCCTAAATGCTCGATTTTGCTTAGGGACAAAATCATGGCATACTTACCTCAAACGAGCAGTTGGAGTGGGGAAGGGAGTAAGAGGACTAAAAGACTATGGGAGGATAGATAAAAAGCCCACTTCTTTGTGTATACATATATATAGTGAAATTAAAAATAGCCTTATTAAATTGTCCAGTTGCAAAAATTTCAAATGGGGCTCTTCCATCCACTGGTTGTCCTCAGGAAAATGCACAGACACATTCAGTTTCCACAGCATCTTCAGCATTCACTGAGCAAAGCCACTCAGATGAGGTGCACAAAATTTGTCTAAGAATCAAGTGTACAATCACTTGATCACCTATTCCAAAAGAATAAAAAACAGAAAAAAGAATGAAACAAGTACAATTCAAGACATACCGCTCCAGTAAGTCTCTTAAGACATAAAGTGTAAAGGATCATTTGTACTCTGCTGGGCACCTGGAGTATCTGAAGCCTGTCATGGGGAGAATAGTATGCATGACCCAGTTCAAATCTCTATAAATTTGCAAGTTTAGGGTTGTCATTTTAGAATGTGGCGCAAGGATTTGGTGGAGCCTGGCACCGGATGGAAGCCCTTCCCGCCGCGTTTCGGGGAATGGATTGTGAACGTCGACAAGGTGAGGTCACACCTTGGTTTGAAGCATTCTTCTTCGTGGGTGAAGAAGCCTTTTGCGAGAATAGCAAAAGCTTGGTTGGGTTTGTCCGATTGGGATTTTGCTGTTGAGGAAGCTGCAGAGATTCTGGGAAGGGATGACCAGGGCAACAAGGCCGTCCTTATTGGGGAGGGCTTGTGTTGCCTCACAGTCGCAGAAGAAGAAGAAGTTCCCTCCACCAAGATTTACAAGGCTGGAGACAAGATCAGGCTTGTGTTTCCTTTCCTTAAGGAAGGAAGGAAGGAGGTGGAGGGGATCATCCTTTCACCCGCGTGCACCGAGAGCCCAGGGACGATGGTGGCAGACATGGCGGTCAAGGCTTTCCCATCCTACTGCGTGGGGTTTGGAGATTGGGAGCCCAAGTTATATCGGTCCACCCGGCTGGAGGTCAACACCCTCCAGCTTCTACTCCACTGCAATATGAGGGATGAGGTTGTGGCGAGGCTCGGCTACCCGGACAATGATCGTGTGAAGGCATGGCCGGTGGATGTGAACGCTCCTGCCTCGCATGGAGATGCTGTTATCGCGTTCTCCTGCAACGAGTTTGGGCTGAGTGGCACCAGCCTTGCGATTGGGTCGCAAGGCACGTATACCACTTTCCCCTGGTTCGGGGCCATCCATGACAGGCTTCAGATACTCCAGGTGCCTGAGACTAGGGAGGCGTTGAAGGCATCTGGTTATCCGATCCCAGCAGAGTACGAAGGGACCA